CACCAGGAAGACAGAACATACTGCAAACTTCCCAGGATAACTTTCAGACTTCATTTTTTGGCTTTTCCTCCGTCTTGCTCTAGGCCTCTTGAATCTTGACTGGGATTATAGCAGTGTAACTTCAAAGCTTTTCCTGAGGTTCTGTTGTTTTGTTTTTAGCAGTTCTGTGTTTCCCAAGAGAAGCATTACCACAAGAGTAGAGCTCTCCTAACTCACTCTACATTAGCATAAAGTTAGATCAAGGACATAATTCATTGGCATTCTTTTATTCCCCTGGAACCTAAGCTGTTCTTTAAATTTGCTTTTCTAAGAAAAATAGAAGAAAAAAATGAATATTTTTTGTGCCACTCACAGCTCCATGTCTTAAATTCCTGAAGATGCTTAACCAAGGTTTCCATCAGGCTTGGTTTTCCTTAGTAACATCCCGTCTAAACACTGTCCTCCTGTTTATAGCACTTGAAAGTCAGTTTCTTTCACTATGTACATTAGATTTAAGGACATCCTGCCAAGAAATCCCACATTCTTACAATGTCTATCTGCCTCAACAGATGTTCTTTGCGAACCTTACCCACAGACCTGTTGAGGAAATGTGTCCGTCATTCCAACTAAAATGTTCAAATTTTCACAATGCAAATTCAGTGGAAAAGGGAGAGAAAGAAATGAGAGTGAGGACTTGGAGTAATCCTATGTAACACAATCTACTTAGTAACGTTCCCTACCATGGTTGTAGGAACCAGGTGGGCATGGAAGGGATTTAATGTGTTAAATCCAAATAAGATTGGAGAAAGGAAATAAAAGTAACCAGTATAATTTAAAGATGTGCTGTTATCTTGACAGAGATTTAAAAAACAAAAAAGGAGCCAAGAGATTTGATGAGAGGGCCCTCGATAGGGAGAGAAGAAGATAATGGCATGGTGTGGGTGCTCCTTTTCTGGGTTTTCCGTTAAATACTTAACTGGCTTAATGACTTTTCCAGGATTTGGTCTGGCGCTTTATCAGTTCACTACAACAGGAACATGAGCCAGGAAAGCCTGAAAACTTGCTGCAGGAAAACATGCCCTTCTGCCAGGCTGCTGTTTGCAGGGTACCTAGCCCTCCAGCTTTATGCCCAGATGCTGGAGCTAGAGGACAACTTCTGGAGTCAGATGAATAAGCAACAGTCAGGGAGGCTGAGGAAAAGCGATGAGTGTCTGCACAAAGCCATTTTCTCCCCTTTCTCATGCTGTTTTGTTGCTGTAAAATGCTCAGTTAACCCTAATTGAATTTGACAATAATAAATTACATATTGAAACTATATAGTTCACCTAAGGAATAGTAATGAAAACAGTGAAGACATCAGAAGCCAGAGTTCAGGAAATGTCATATTCACATAGAAATGCTTTAAATTTTTCTCAGAGCTTTATTGTCTCTTTTTTCCCCCCAAAAAAAGTTCCAGACCACCCAGTGTACAAGGTCCTTTCTAGAAACTGTACATAAAATCCTCCTTTAATTCAGCTTTGCCTCTGTTGTTATATGATGGCTTTAAGCCTATAAATAAAGAAGAAAATGAACTGTTCAAGAAGTACAAGATGAATTAGCTCATCTTTCTGGCTTATTTTTAGGTGCAAGCCATGCCCTAGTGGAAGGGATTTGCAGAAGTATTAAGATTTAATATAAAAAGAGACGTATACTCACTCCCCTTGTCCTTGGTCTTGGCCCCAAAAAAATCCTGTATGTAAACACACGGCAATTCTTCATCATCATCATTGTTCTCGTGGTCATTGTTGTTAAATGTGTGCTAGTACTGGAGCTTGAACTCAGGGCCTCACACATTTGGTTGGCTTTTTTTTTACTCAAGGCTGACACTCTATCATTTGAGTCACATCATCACTGCCAGATTTTTGGTGATAAAGAGATGAGTCTAATGGCCTTTTCTATCCAGGCTGGTTTGAAACTGGGATCCTCGGATCTCAGCCTCCTGAATAGCTAGGGTTACAAGCATGAACCACTGGCACCTGGCTACAGCAAAGCAATTCTTGACTCCCTCATAAGAGTACACAACCTGAGCCTTCAGCCTTGGCATATAAACTATTAACCAGATCTTTTCTATAAATGATACCATGGTAAAAAGTAAGAAATTTCTTCAGAAACAATTAAGGACCTAACAAGCTGAGTTTATCCTTACAGGTTGCTGTGGGGGAAGAGTGGAATGGTGAAGTGTATGTAGCTCTATGGAAGAGCAGGTCCTAGTCTAAGAGAGACCTGGGGTTCTATCCCCAGGACAGGGGAAAAGAAAGTTGGTTGGGCAGCAGCATATTGATTGGTGCAGATGTCCACTCAGTGGAAGCTGCCATGGAATGCCGATGTTTTGTTCTGATGGGACCTCTTCCTCTTCCTTCCCAAGGTCTCTTGGTCTAATTAAATTTCAGGGAGACAGAGCTTTGGCAGAGGTTAAAGGAAGCGGCTAGACTGCAGTATAAGAGCTGGGCTCAAAACTAAATTGGGAAGTTTAACGGGGCCCGTCTCTAGTTTCAATGAAATACTTTTACAGCGTATGGTAGCAATGTCTGTTTCTAAGCTTTTGAAAACCATTTTTCTTTTTCCTTAATTGTAGTTCCCTGGTTGTTTTTATATTATGAGCTACTTGTAGAAAAATACAGGAAACATAATTACAATACAAAGCTCCCTTTCCCAAGCCTACTGAGATCATTTGAAGCCAAACTGGGTTTTAGGGTTTTGCTAACTATAAGTTCACAGCCATGAATTGCATCCTATGTAGTGCTAGTTGATTTACAGCCAGTGTTATGTTTTTAAACAATAACTGTGTTTCTCCCAGCCGTGTAGCTGCCATAGGATTGAGAGAGGGGAGGGGAGGACTCAGTTGCTTCATGAGTCCACATTGCACAGCTTCCTCTGGGAAAAAAGAATGAATATCTTTGTGTGACTCTTACAGTAAAGAGAAGCATTGTAAAAGTATATATAAGTTTATTTAGGGAAAGGAAAAAGAAATAAATTACTTGGGTTTGTTTTTTTCACTTACATTGGCAGCTCCATGTAGCACTGTGTTCAATTGCTAATTGCTAATTTTTGTATCCTACCTTTCCTGAGAAATCTGTATATGGACTTTTAGGCCAGGAGAAATAACTTGCTTCACTCTGGTTAACACCCTGGGGAGGAAATGGGTACTTTAGTGTATTGTGAAATGCGAAGCTTTGGGGAGTTTGATTTATTCAAGCCTAAAAAGCAATGATGGATGATTAAGAATGAGAGTCCCTGAATGTCCTCTGCTGGAGCATGGTTTCAGGCAGAAAGACAGATACGCAGAAGTGGGGTCTGGACAACCTCCGCTGGAGAAGGCTGAGCCCCAAAGAGAGCACTGAGCATGCAGGCACCCCGACCTTCGCATGCTAATCCTGGAACAAAGTGCCCTTGCCCCTCAAATTCAGAGGAATCTGGAGCAAGTGAGCAGGAGAGGCCTTCAGTAGCAACTTGGTTATGTTACTTTCACTTGATATAACTGGTTTAGGTTGTTCTTTAACATAAGTGGCTAAAACTATCTTAATGGAGTATCACTTTTATATTGCTTTCACACCCTCTGGTTTGAGGATTCTCTTATTCGCCCTTTGATAATGAGTGTGCCAAAGCTAAGTGTTTATCTCGCTTCTAAAAGTATGTATCCCAGTCATTTTCTTTTTTCTCCTTTCTTCTTTCCCTTCCTCCTTTCCCAACTTTCTTCCCTCTTGTTAGTCATCTTGCAATTTTCATCCCAGCCTTCATCTAATTCAGACTGCAGAGGCCTGTAATAAAGAAGGGAAGGAAAGCAGTAGAGAGGGTTATTCTGAGGAAAACATAAGAGATGCACGTCTGAAATCCCATAGCGGAAAAGGAATAAAATTGATGAGCAAAAGCTAAGATATAGAATTCATTTCTGCTCTACCTATTTTCTAATCGTCTTTCTTTCAAGGACGCTTGTAGAATGGATAGAAATGAACTTCCCTTGTTTCTCTAGAACTCCCCGCGAATCCCTTTGGGCTTGGGTTTCCCTCCGGGTGAGGGCAGGGCTGAGAAGGCAGGTCCGAGCCATCCATCTCCTTTTTGCGTTTTGACAAGGCTCCTGTCGCCCAGGTTGATGAACTCAAGGACTAAGCACACGAAGTCCCAGCTGGAGGATCGCATAAATGTTAACTCTGCCCTCCACGTAGCTGTCTGGAAGCTCTGAGGGGTACAAAGAAGCTCGAGAAGGGTCAGAGCTGCCGGGCTCCGAAGAGCAGTGATTTCAAACTGCTACTTGCGGCTAGCTGGTGGGTGGAGAATAGCAGCAAGTGGCGGGAGACCAGGATTTTCTGATAGAAGAGAATGGGAGTGGAGTAGGTGCCCCGGGTGAAAGGAATGTTTACGTTGCTGTGGAAAGCTAGGTTTCGGTTTATGAGCTGTGGGTGTGCCTCGGGCAGCGCGCACTAGCCCGGCTGCGTCCAGAAAAGCTGGGGCCGCCGCCCGGGACGCGCTGCGCAGGGCGGCGGGCTGGGAACCGACAAGCTACCGCTCCATCCCAGCTGCCCGCTGCCGAGAGCCCGGGCCGGGCCGCGCGCCTCCTCGCTCTGGGTCCCGCCCCCGCGTGGCGGTGGCTCTGGGGAGAAGCGCGTGGAAAGCCGGTGCCCGGGGCGTGCCCACCCCACCCCCCAGCCCTGGGAGACCAGCGGGAAGATTTACTCCCGGCTCTGGCCAGAGAAGTACAGAAATTCGAAACTGTTCTCACGGCCGCGTCCCGACAGCTTAATGCATTTTTTAAGCCATTAAGAGTCGTTGGACGCTGTCGGGCCGGGGGCTGAGCGGGAGGGCGGGGTAGCCGGGGCCGCACAGTCACGGTGCGTGCAGGTTTGTGCGGCGCGTTCCTCACCGGGCGACCGGCCGAGCCCGGCCCGGACCAAAAAGCGGGGAACCGAGAGCGTTGCTGGGGAGGGAGCTCGGACGGCCGCGGCCGTCCCGCCCGCCTCACCGCCCCCCTGTCCTCCCTCCTGCAGGACTTTCTGCAGGGAGACTGCAGCAAGGCGAAACAGAAGCTCAACTGGAAGCCCCGCGTCGCCTTTGACGTAAGTGTCTCCTTCGCTGGGACCCGCGGGCCGGCTCCTCGCGGGCCGGCTGGGACGGGACGGGACGGGACGGGACGAGGCGGGGCGGGGCGGCCCAGCCCGGCTTTGGAGCGGCCGCTCCAGGTGAGCCCAGCGCTGTACCCGGGGACCGCGGGCGGGGAGGGGAGGGGAGGGGCCGGAGGCCTCGGGAGAGCCACCACCCGGAGCGAGGGAGGCACCGGGAGTGGCAGGAACTCCTCCCCCACCGCCCACGGGTGTCTCGGGTTGTAGGAGCTGGTGAGAGAGATGGTGCAAGCCGACGTGGAGCTCATGAGGAACAACCCCAATGCCTAGAGCGGCGGGCAGGCGGTTGGGCCCTTCGATCAGTGGCCCGCGGGGAATCGACGGGCGCAGACCAGAGATGCGACGATCCAGGCAGGACCTGCGATCCAGCCACTCCCCCGCGACTCTGGCCTTCACCGCGTCGTCCCCTCGGGCTGGGCGCAAGAGGGACACCGTGGTTTGCAGCAGCCGGGACATGACACTCCACAGTTCCAGTCGCTTTTGACGAAGCCTCCTCCAAATGGTTTTGTAAAATCAAAGTGTTTTAATCATATAATCACTTTACTTGAAATTGTGTCACTACTAGACAACTTTAATTTTGGGGCCTTCAAATTGTCTCTTTTCTTATCAAATAAAATCTTTCTGTGAACTAGCATTAACAGACTCGCTGTTTTCTTCGTTATAAAGGCAGCTTTTGGGGCCCCAAACCAAAATGCGAGAATCCAGGCCTTAGGGCATTTGAAAAAGCCCCTACTGGGAAGACCACAAGACTCAGCTGAGCCTTCCTTTCCTGGTAATAATAAGCTGCAGAACTGATAGTCTGACCCCTCTTGTCTCCATAATGAGATCCATTGGGTTCCCACTATGTTTGAAGGCAACTGGAGAAATTACATAGGAGAAATTACTTTAGAAGAATAAACTTCCAGGTAAGTAAATACTGTTGGAACCGCTATGCCACAACCAACTCTGGGGTCTTCCAGCCCATTCCTTGCCTTGTACTCAAGAATCATACAATTCTCATTTCCAACCTCTTTTCATCAGTACTAGGTTATTTTTTAAACCTAATTTAATTTCTCGAACCAGTTTATAGCTGGTGTCTAATATATGCTACCCATTGTGCTAAACACTGAACTACACCCACATCAATTAGAAGTTACAATAAAGGGGTTTAAGGCTCAGCCACAGATCACAGGACCAGGCCTCACTGGATGTATCATTTAGGGGGCCTGAGCACAACCACAGGCCTACTCCTGAGCCATGTAGTATACAGCTATAGAAAGCTAAATACATAAATGCTCTGAACAGACAGCAATCAAAGATGTGTGTACAGGTGTACTCCTTGCTTCAAGTTTTTCCCTAGAACAAGTTAAATCTGGGTGCTTCTCCCCCTCAATCCCCCTCCAAGAAAAATAAAACTTTACAGCAAATGGAATTCCAGCCTTTACACATGCATATGTGAGTGTGGGTGAACTATGTTTGAACATCTTCACAGGCAGGTTTATGATGGGGGAGGATTAGGGCTCCTGGGGCTGGTGGAGAGAGAGGGCTTTGGGGGTTGTTGTCTCAGTCCTGTGAGAGTCTGCTGGCCAGTCTGCATGGAGCAGAACCGGAATAGCCTGAACTGGCCCACCCAGTTCTCAAAGCCACCCCAGCATGAGCCTGTCTTCTTCAGCTCCCAAGTGGGATGCTTCTAATTAGAAGCAGATGCTCCACTGGAGGCTGAACTCCAGGATGGGGCCAGTTGGTAGCCTAGACCCACACACTGGTCACATACAGACGCATGTTGTCACACAGACTCAAACACTTATCTACTCACAAACATGCCATCTCACACAATCACACTCCCAAATACAGCTAGAAACTCTACTGTCACACAGGGTATGAAGAATTCTCACGAATAATCATATGCCCCATAGTTTTGACCCTGTCAGACAGGCACTCCCTGTCCTCTGACCACCTGAATCTCCATCTCACACATGAGAGGCCATTTCAGAAATTTCAGCTTCAGTGCCCCGATTTAATTCAATAAGTTGTGGCTTTTTAGCCCAAAGCCATAGTTAGGTCCTCTGGGAACACTAGAAATATTCTAGGCAGCATTAAGGATACCAGCAATGCCATATTGTTTAATTCATATTTTTTGAAGGAAACAAAGTTTAAACTTTCTCACTATTCCTTTGGCTTCCTGACCCTGTATGACTGTGTTTAAAAGTAGAAAAACATCAGATCTGTTTTCTATGCCGTGGAAAATTTCATGTAGCCATCATTAATAAATAGGTTTCTTCTACCTTAATCTGATGTAATTTTTTGTATAGTGAAAGTTTTCTCTTTTTTTTCTTGCCTAAAAACTATTCATTTTTACTATTACAAAACATTTCCTACCTTGATTTTTTTAAAAAAAGAAAAAGTTAAAAACTCACTATACACAAATGCTCTGCCAAGGCAGTCAGACCTATGTTTATTCTCAGGCAGAGAAAAATGTGCATAGACACTTCGGACATCCAGTGGCTTCACTCTCCAACTGATCTGCCTGCCAGGTTAGTCTGCTGCCCTTTGCCTTTAAGAAGTTATGCAACAGAGCTAGAATTAGGCCCAGCCTAACAAACCTGTGACACCTCTGCATCTATTCAGGTCATTTAGCACCGCAGTGTGGGCTGCTGACCTTAAGGAAGTGCTAAGGTTTTTCAAGAGGTAAGGCTGGGCTGAGGGCGGGCCCCTTAGGAATCAGGATTGCTGGTCAGGTGAGGAGCAGGGCCAGCTCTCATGAACAGAAATTGCTTAGGGCTCCTTTTTGTTCCATTTAATCACCTTTACCAATATCTACTGCCAAAGCCCTAAAAACTAGTCAGTTGATAAGCCATAGGTACATATGACTTTTCTTGTGTCATTAAAGCTCAGAGGCATAGTTCGGATTTTCATTTTAAAGTAATAACTGTGGGCCTGAAGGTGTAGCTTGGCATTGGAGTGCTTGCCTGGTATAGCATTTGAGGCCCTCTGTTCACTCACAACACCCACCAAATTAATAAATTATTAAAATAAAGAATAACTGGTGTATTTTAAAGCCATTTTCTAACACCCCCCCAAAAAAAACCCCAAACCCTCAAGTCACCCAAGGCACCATTGTATTTGAGAATTCCAAGCACAGTTGGAAAATTTTATAGTGTAGTCCATCGAGTTCAAGTTCACATGCCACATATTTTCCAGGACCTGAGCTGCAGTTTTAATTGCTCCGCCAAAAGCTCCCATCCTGGTTTAACATGAAGATTGTATGCCTGCCTGTGCATGTCTTACAAACAGATCAGCAAGTCCCAGCATGCCGCCCACATCTCTGGATCTTGGGAATTTTCATCATTGGGGTCGAGGAGGACTTTCCCAAGCAGCAGGACAACTGTGACACTCTGTAATTCTGGGAGCTGGCCCACCCGTCCTTACTCCTAACTTCCCACGGGTCCACAGTATCCTTGATATACACACAGTCTGAGTCTCTTCTGGGAGTAGGATATAGGACTTCTACCTAGCTCCCTCCCCATCATATAACTCAGAGCATGGAGTTCACATTCAGGGGTTTGCCTTTGGGGTATGGAGGAACATTGCCATCTTGCTGTTCCTGGTTGCCAGACTGTCTAGAAATCTGCAGGACATATGGCTACCCTCATCACCTTCAGGCCTGCACTGTAAGCTCTCTTTCTGGGAGGCACACTGTGAGTGGGCTTTACTCAACAAAAACCTATACAAGGTTCTGGTTAACAATAGCACAGCAAGGGGCTTACCATGCACTCTTCCAGGGCTAGTCTCTGCTGGGAGCCAAAGACCAGGCCCTTTGGCCTACTCCTGTACTCCCACCCTTCCTCTGGGGTCAAGGGTCACATATAGCAGACCCTTTGATCTTTGACTATCAGGGCCAAGGCACAGCTTGGGGTGCAAGGCTATCCATCTTTCATGAGCTAATTTTGCTGCAGTGGGGCCCAACGGCCCTGCTCAACACTCAATAGCTTTACCATCTCAGGTAAGGCTCTTAGATTCTGTTATTCCATGCTTTGGCAATGAACACAGGGTACAGGCTATTGGGACAATAACACCCCCCCCACACACACACACACACTCCTAGCACCAAGCATGCATCCGGAGTATCAGCTCTGGCTCCCATGGCTGCACAGATCCAGCATGCACAATTTCATGCTGCCTAACCTCAGTGGAGCCCAGTAAACCTGGAGAGATGAGGAAGCACTGTTCATCTCAAGAAAAGTACCTAGCCAGTGGCCAGGCTAAAACGCCAGTGCACTCCGGAATCATGCAGACATCAGTGTGCAGCAGCCACCAGGCCAAAGTAGGAGAACCAGGGTCTAGGGAATCTGGAAAGGCAACTGAAATCAGGGCTCCACTGACTCGTGTTGCCCCAAGGGAGGCGCCGGTGCCTAGCTGGCCTTAAAGGAAGCAGCATGCCGGAGGCTGAGACTGGAGCAGCAGCCACGGGCAAGACTATGAAGACTATGTATATTTGGAAGGGGTCAGGACCCCGGCCGGAGTCTGGCTTTTTATGGCAAGGAAGCAGACTGGGAAGGGACTTCTGGTGATGCTTTCCTGTTGTGCCATGTCCCTAACAGTACCGGGAGCAAGTGGCTGCACTAAAGAGGAGACAGAGGCCTTATTCCTCTGGCTGCTCTGAGAACTGGGATCCAGAGTTGGAGGGTGGATAGGTCTGCTCTGAAATCAGCAAGCAAGTGTCTCATTATTCTTCTGTCACAGAAAACACTATTTTGCACTTCCTGGTCGTCCTTGAACCCTGATCGAGAGTGGGAAAAGTAGGTGGCACAGAGAGCCCTAGGAATGGAAAAAGGTTTGGTGAGCCAGGACATCAGTCCCCAAGTTGTCTATGGGAGTATCTAGCACTCACATTGCCTTTGGCTATGGAACAGGGCTTTTCGCCTTCCCAGCTCTCCTTGGGACACAGGGCTGAAGATCTGGCAGTGACACCTTCTGCCTGAGTTAGCCCAACTCCTCTCATTGTGCATGGCATATCCTTCACAGGTAGCAACAAAACTCATCTTTAGAATCCCAAAGAAGTCTTCAGCTCTGCAGCCACTGCTGTCCTATGTGCCCAGATGCTGCAAAAACATCCCGGTATAAACCCTGGCTATGAACTAGGCTTAGGGAACTGCTGTGATCCCTGCACACATCCTCAGGCACCAGCCCTCCAAGAGCCCAGTCGTTTGTGCTCCCCTCAGAGACCAGATTTTACTTTTTTTCTCTACAGCAATTGTTAAAAAAAAAAAAATCAATTGTCACTGAAATGCGTTCCACACCCCAGTTGAGCTTGCACTCCTGTAGCCCTGAACAGCCTCAGCCTTTGAGACTGAGACTTGCTTTTATACTAAAGGAAATGCAGAGGCCTTAGGAGTTAATGGAGCCAAATGTGTAGTGTTCCTGCTTTTCCCTAGAGCATGTAACAGGATGGGGGGATTCTCACTTGCTTTCGGTGTCTCTCTTCAGCTCCGCCCAATCTCTTGATCTGTCCCCCACACCCCCCAACATACACACACACCAAATCCTTTTTCCCACATTCAAGTACCCTGCTGGGCCACCCGCCTGCCTTCCTTCCTACCCAACCCAAGGTCCCAACACTAGGTCAAGCCAGCAGCTACACTTGCTGGCCTCACAAATTGCCTTCCTGTGCCCACCCAAGTAGAGCCAAGTTATATCCACTCCAGCCCAACCAGTCCCCTTCCTGGGAGCCGCCACCTATAGAACAGCTAGGAGAAGAGGGTACATAGTCCCAAGAGGCCTGGGTGAAGAGGCAGTTGCTCAGCTCACAGCAAGATCTTCCCCAGAAGAGGAGGCACCTTCCTGAGGATTTCCTGTCATCCCAGAGAGTCTTCACTAGAAGCAATGTTAGGTGTTCTTTCAGGCCACGATGGGAGCACTCCTCAGGGGAGCTCCAAGGCCTCCAAGACAGGCTAGATGCAAGGAAATTCCAGATCCTACTGCATCACCATAATACGCTCAATATGCTGCAAATTTAAAATCAGTGAGGGAAAAAATCTAGTAAACAACAAAAAATATAAAACAGAGTTTCTTTTTGGAGACAAGGTAAGATAGGAAAGGAAGCCACAAAGGTTTTCAGTTGGGCCTTATTTTGGTTTCCAATAAGTCCGACATGGTGCATTTTGCTCAATTTTCCACTCCTAATCACATTGAGAACATTGGTAGAGTTGCAGCTTTCATTCTCTTAAATGGGTTTTGGAGCTGGAATTCATTTAATTAAGTATTGTTCTTTTCCAGTCACACTCAGACCTCGAACCTGCCTACCCTGCTCCAGGGTAACTCTAGGCCTGGGCACAAGCTTGGGGTCATGGTTGTATCCCCAGGAGGCTCAGGGGACCTGGGTAATGGGGACCAACAGAGATGGTATAAGCCAGAAATGAGGACTTTTGAAAAAAAAAAAGTCAGCCCTAAGAACTTCTATGGGGAAAGAAGGATGAAAGAAGAGAGAGAAAGAGAGAGAAGGACAGAAGTTAATGGTTCTGTTACATACACACTGGTAAAGAGAGCTGAAGATGGGGAATTGGGCTCACAGAAATTCCAAATAGCAAAAAAAGCCTGAGTAGCTCAACAAAAATGACACTAAGGCAGCCTCCGAGCACAAAGTACTGGCTGCATTATAAATCCAAGTAGGAGATTGCAGGGCTACAGGATTCTTATGCTGACATTTGGGCCCATGACAAATCTCAGTAGGTTTCCTTTCCTGTCAAGTAGCCATTGTCTGAGTAAATCAGACTCCCCTTCTTGGGAGCTCTCCTGAGCTTTGGGACCCCTTCCCCTTCCCCTTGCCCTCAATATGACGTGGTGGAGTGAAGCCTCTGATATATCTCTTGGTACATTTTCTCCTAATGTGACTGCCCCTGCTGAATCATATTCTCTCCTGCCTGGCCAGCTTTATTACTTGGCCATCATCAATCTTGCCCCTAACAGGACATTTGTTTACGGCCAGGCAAGAAGAGCTAATGGCTCATGAACCAGCCATGAAATGAGGAGGTAGGAAAAAAAGAAAGAAGGAAAGAAAGAAAGAAAAAAGAAGGAAGGAAAGGAGGGAAGGAGGGAGGAAAGAAGGGAGGAGAAGGGAAGGGAAGGGAAGAGAGAGAAGGAAGGGAAGGAGAGAGCAAAAGAAAGGAAGAAAGAAAGAAGCAAGAGAGCTGGCCTTGTAACCCTGGGCAGAATCCAGTGAGGTTTTTGGAAAATAGGGACCTTGATGTGGGGAACTTAAAAGCAAATGGGAACCCCTCCTTTAGATCTAAGATATAGGGTGAGGGCACAGTCATTCAAACTAGCCTTGCTTTAGTAAGGCCATTAACAGGCAGTACAAACCCCCAGAGTTCAGTGTCTCTCAAGGTTTTATACCATTAGGAACAAAACAAATGGAACCTTAAAAACCAAAACTCTTCCCCCAACTAAGCACAAAGGGTGGGGAAGAGAGGTGCCTCATCCTTTCCTTAGTTAGGGGTGTCTAAAAGGACCAAAAGACATTCCTATTTCCTGACTCCTGTTTCTGACCTGACAGAAAACAGCCAAGAGCATACAGGAGACTAGGACAAAAGTGACTTATTCCTCTGCAAACATAAGCATTAATGACACATACTGCGTGAAATGATAAATTGTAAAACGTATGCTTGTTTGCATGCCACCCGTTTTTTTAAAGGCCTAACTATGTAACAGCACGCATTCCTAGCACATGTGCAACACACAATATATGAGATTTTATATGGCATGTACCATGCTGACATTTGTGTGCTCATGGTATAAACTGTGAAGAAAATTAATGCACATCCATTCTACGCACAGGACCAAAAAAAAAAAATACTCTCCTAAAGTTTTCTACACACGCAAGTTGCAAAATTCCCTACCCTGGGTCCTACTTGTCCTCTGAAAGCTATTTCCCAAATGTTCTTTCTCTCAGTTAAAATAGCCAATTAAAGGTGCAAATCACTAAGGAATAAATAATTCCAAGTTCAATAAGATTGTCAGGAATTGATTTTTCTTCAGGTGTATATGGGAATCCAAATGTGGTGATAATGAAAATAACCATCACATACATGGGGTTTCAAACATCAGAAGAATGAACAGACTCTTCCAGCGTGGAAGGATCAGGTAGGGAACTGGCGAAATTAACTACGCATGTATGTGTCACACCAATAGCTTCCGAGACACATATGTCTTCTTATGCCCAATTTTTCAAACTTTCAAACCAAAGAGAAAGTCAGCAAGCTCTCCTCGTGCAAGCAAGGCACACTCCCAGGAGCTGCCTGCGTGAAGGTTCCTCAAGAGCCAAAAAAGCCACAATCCCCCATTTGCCCAGAAAGGAAGAATTAGGCACACCCTCAGCCCATTCAGTAGCCTAGCAGCCCGAAGTTGGGGCCCGATCCGTTCTTTTCCTCTCTGGGCTTCTCCTCCTCAGCCTTCTCTCACGCAGGCTACAATGACAAGCTAGAGGCACCCCGGAATGCAGGAGTTAGCAGATGCTGGGCTGAGCCCTAAGACCACCCGGCTTTCCAGGCCCGAGGTAGGCCTAGGCCCCGACTGATGAAGGCCGGCACTTCCTCAGGGCAGCCAGACCATGGCCTAGAGAAGACGAGGAGGGTCTCGGGCACGTGGACCGCTGAACGTGCTCTAGGCTTCTCGAGTCCGTTGCGCTTAGCGACACCCCGCAAAATCACTGCCCAGTGATTTCTGTCCTCTGCAATCCGACTTCCTACGCCTCGCGAGGACGCGGCCCACCGCGGAGGCTGCCTGGGCCCCAGAACCGGCCTGGGGCAGCTCCTGCGCGGCCTTGGCGGGTGGACCCGGGAGCCAGGGGTGCGGCGGGGCGCGCTGTCACCGTGAGCAATGAAGTGCCTGTGACCTTTCCACCCTTGCCCGGCTCCTAAACACACGTGTTTCTTCCAAAACAAAGGCGGCGCTCGGGGAGGAAGCGGGAGCGTCGGAGCGGGCTGCCTGGGCCTCGCGCGCGTCTCTCCACCCTGGGCCCCCGCACTCACGCGCCGGCTCTTTGCCACCTTCCGCGCCGCGCAGCCTTCCCGGCACCCGAGCCAACCTGTGATTAACCCATCAAACCTAACAGCTCTCGCTATTTTCTCCCAAACATCTCATTTCAGACGGAGACACCAGCGGGAGCCCGGGGAGGAGGCGGAGGGCCGGGGCGGGCGTGGGAGGAGGAAGCCGCTCCAAACGCAAACAGAAGCGGTGGGCCGCCGCGAGTAATTACAGCTCATTAGGGAAGAGAGTTCCGTCGGCGAGCGGCGTCCCGAGGCCGGCGTCCGGCCCGACGCCACTCCGAAGGGTCGGCTGCAGAGAAGCGCCCCAGCCGGAAAGCCGGCGGCGGGCCGCGGGTCTCCGCTTCCCTCCCCCTTCCCCCCCAACTCCAGACGGTGGAACTAGACACTTTTGCCCCTGTACCATCTCCAGTGGCCGGGTCTTGGGTCGCTCAACCCGTCTGTGGGGCCAGGCCGCGGGTCACCTGCTACCGCCCCCAATCCAGCCCTTGACAAGCCGTCTCTGGCTATCACACTCGGTCCACAATTCCCAACTCCACGCTCATCTCCCCATGATGAAGCAAGGTGCGCCTCCACTTCTTGCCCATCCTCCTCACCCCTGTCTCCCCAAAAGGGCGGTTCGACGAAGTTCCCGGCAGCCCCGAGACCTAGGGCTAAGGCCCAGTATTGACCTAAAGGCACCCGCGAGGCGGCCCCAGCCGGCTTGACCCGAAGGGACACCGCGCCAGGGCCGCGGCGATCTTCCCGGCTATTAGGTTTCGGCTCTGGGGGAGGAGACCGAGCGAATCAGAGGCCACGTAAAGCAATTTTTGACTGAAATTAGAGTGTATTTATTTGCAGCAATCCTTTAACAATGATCAAATTTTGACAACAAGCAACAGCAATTACTGCTTAAGTGTTGCCTCTAGATAGGAGCGGCAGATAGGAAACTGCATTATCTCGAAAACAAACTTAAAGGCCCTGAATGTCTGTAATCAAATCGCCATCTCACCAAAGTCTGATTGACAGGGCAGATCACCCTAAGATAATGAATTTATTACATTTCCTGGGTTATTTACAAAAGTGGGGGAGGGCCCATCTGAATTGCCCCCTGGGTTTAACTGTAAATTAACAAGAAAAATTGGTTGGGAGGGGAGCGGGGAAGCACCCTGGACTAAGATGTTCTGCCCCTGCCTCTTTCCTTTTTGTTATTGCTTTAAATCTTTTTCCATAATAATTTTCTACAAACATATCTTCTAAAAGAGTTTCCCAAAGATTAAATATTTCTTTCCAACTTGCAATATTTATATTTTAAAAAAGCAACCCTTCTATGTATCACACGAAGGGCTGTAAATAGGAATGAGTTATATACATACATTTAAAAACAGGTATATTTTTCCTCTTCCAAAGTACTGAAATTAATAGGAAAAATCTATTCCACATCTGGCTCACAAGGGGTGTATAAGGTACTCAACACTGAAATTGTATACGGGACAGAGGAGCCAAATCCCCATCTGTGAGTATCTTGAGGCACATCTGCATCTCTACACACAGGTAACACTGTGATGAGACTGCTGCTGATTCATAGGCTTAAAATTTCCAAATCATGTTCAGTCATTACTGAAAAAGTATTTGTTTATATGCCAACTCAGATCTGTTTAGGAATTTTTTTAAACTACCCTCAAAGCAATTGACTACAGTACATTTTGCAGAAGATGCTGCCAGAAAAGTCTAAACAACAACAACAACAAAAAACTTTTAGCTAAATTTGACATGGACTAATCAGAGGGTTTCCCCAGTATTCAGAGATGTGGGTGAATACAAATTCCTAATGTATCTCTGAATTTTTTTTAATATTAAAGCTTATTAAGGCATCCAGACATATAGGTCTCATTCAAACTGAATGGCAATTTATTAATAAACAATGAGTATGTTCAACAAAAAGAAAGATGATAGAATAAGATTAATACAGTTTCCCTTTTTTATAATGAGGAAAAAAAGCACAATTTAAAGTTTCAGGCACTTTAACATCAGTTTTTGGAAACACTTTCTGGCGTTTGGTCCACAACATCCAACTACAAATTAAAAATAAATTACTATGTTTCAATTTACATTTTAAAACAAGTCCATGAATAAAAAGAAAGCAATTCTCATATATAGGGACTTTCCCCTCCTTTCAACATAAGATCAAATACTATCTTACAGGTGAGAGGCCAGGAAAGGCGGGGGAGGGAGAGGAAAGCGCAGGAAAGCTAGGCTCTGAAAAGCAAGAAGAAACTTACGTGTTATCTGGAGTAACACTGTCCTTTAATAAACCATGATTTTGCTGTCTCTGTACAAAATTGTTTATACTTTGGTTTATTTAGATAAGGCAAAGTGGAGGTGGTTCTGAATTAATCTTTTAAGAAAATAGTTTTCTTTGGGCTGGTGCTGGCGATTTGAATTTTGGGAGTGTTGGCTGGTGAATTTTCTGGAGTTCTTGAAATTGGGTAATTTTAGTTTCGATTTTGCATTGATGTTTTCTTTGGGCTGTTCCTGCTTTGGCTGTTCCATCAAGTTCGGCTTTGAGGGGCCAGGGTGGGGTCAGAACTTACTGCAGTCATAGACGAAAGCCCCGGACGCGCGGTACAGGGGCTGGCTGGCCGGGAACGCCATCTGACAGCTACTGTTTCCGTTCACTGGCGAGTTGTTCAAGCCGATCCGCTGGGACTCAAACATCTCCCTGACGGAATGGAAGTTCTGCTGCTGCCCGGGGTAGCCCGCGGCGGCGGCCGCCGCCGCGCTGGCCAGGTGGCCCAGGTCTCCGCCTGCTTGGTTCAGGTACCATGAGGGGAGCCGGCCTTGGTGTGTCGCTGGGTGGTGGCCTGTCTCCTGGCCTCCCCCGCCATGGCTCAGGGACGACGAGCTGCTGCTGGTTACCGGAGGCATGGAGTAATCGGGGAGGGGGTCGTCCACCGCCGAGCCCGCGCCCCCGGGCGCGCCCTGCAAGTGGCCGCTGCGCTCGCCCGCCGCGTACAGGCTCATGGCCTGCAGGTTGCAGTGGTAGGTCCCCGCGCCGCCACCGGCCCCCGTGCCGCCACCGCCACCACTGCCACCGCCCGAACTGCCCGCGCTCGAGCTCTGGCTGCAGGGGGAGCTGTAGAGGGAGCTCTGGCCTGGAGAGTAAGCGCCCAACGCGAGCGGGGGTGCGATGCCCGTGCGCGACGACGCGGCCGCCGAGGCCAGCA